AACCACCACCATTGCCACCACCTGCACCAAAACCCGCCACCACTTCCTCCAAGCCACCAACTCGCCACCATAACCACCACCACAACAAACCACACACACAATTTAACAGGTTCTCCCAACCACCATGTATATTCGCACAACCATCACCACCACCACCATCCTACTACCCTCCATCGCATCACTATTTCACCCAAATCTAACATCCGCACCAACGTAGTGTCGAAGAGCTGTGTGGCGCGACTTACGATTGCTTCCAGTAGCGACATCGACGGCGACGTGACGAGCAGCATCAGCACACCCGGTGACACCACTGTGCGTAGCGGCTGCTTTTTGCAACTGAAAGAGAGGGAGAGAGAGGGTAAAGTGTGGAGAAGAGAGGGAACAGGGAAGGCGAGAAATGATTTGGGGATTTTGGATTTGGGGGTGGGGTGCGTTGTATTGGGAGGTAATTTAATTTATTATTTTAATTAATCTAATTTATCACCTGATTTATGAAAAAAAAACTTAATCTTCTTTTTTTTGAAATATAATCTTTAAATGCAGGTTCTTGGGTAATTTTCTCGTAGAACATCAGTGTTGTCAGGGCTGACCCTAGGTTGCCTTGGGTCTCAATTCTTGAGAAGCCTCAAAAAATTAAAAGCCCAAAAATTCAACAAAAACATTCATTTCCTTTTTGAGTGGGTTCTTTATTCCATTTAAAATACATGACTAGATAATATGATTGACTAAATAAGATGCCCAAAACATTTGGGCACTTACATCCTTAACGAGCTTAATTTTTTTAAAAAAAAATTCTTCCATAGTTTTTTAGTAAGTTTATAATTTTCTTTAAAAAAAATTTAAAAATTAATTTTTATGAAAGTTAAAAATAAGTTATTTATTTTCATTTAATTTTTAATAATTAAAAAAAAATCAATTTGAATAGAACATGAATGATAATAAAGAGATCAATACGCTTATAAAAAATTATATTTAAGAGTTTCGTAATAATTTGTCGCCTAGAACCTCGAATATCTTAGGGCCGACCTTAGGTGTTGTGCTAACTCATTATCTCTTACATTTCTCTATCTCCCCGCCCCCCGTAGGTCCCATTTGTGTCATAATTATTGACTCAACATGATATAAATTACAAGAAATGTCATTTTTCTCAAAATGCCCGAATTAGGGACACATTGATCATTCTACTTGATTCGATCAATAATTGCGACTGTCCTATCATTATCATAAACTGTATAACGGTATAAAATTTGCTATAAATTTGATAAAAAAATCACTCCCAGGCAAATGCTTACTCAATTCATTGTTTATTAGAAGTGCGATTCACTATGTTAATCATGAAAATGGGCATCATCAATCGATTCGCGTAATTCACCGATTCCATATGGGTTGCACTAAACTACAAATTCATATCCATTATAAATCTAAACACGTGTACATCCACATTACACATCAAAATCCGCTACCAATCTTAATCTTATCCACCCACGGTCAAATTTTGTGAATTTTGTCCTGAATTACTATGATAGATGGAACACACAGACTGCTGCGCTGCATCTATATCTACGAAACCTTATCATCTATCAGTTCCAACACTAATCCGTACAAACTTCTCCGGGCCCAGGACCCGGAAGAGCAATTTCAACGTTCATACCTCGAATTCAAGTAACCCAAACCCGATACTACACTGGAGCTCCAGTTTGACTCGGAGCCTCGTTTCATTACATATAAATTGGCATTTGTAAAATTCTATCCATTTCAAAATTTTGCGGTCGCACTTACCTCTTCAGGTTTACTCCCGTTCAAGCTTCAGCTTAGATACATTAAATCCCGACCGTTCAATTCCAAGTATCGTCCAAACGGTACTGAAACGATTAATTATAGCTTAGCAAACACATTTAATTTTGTTTTCTCGATTTCAAACATTCAAACAAATGGATTGTTTGGAATGTTTCTGTAGTTTTATTCCAGTAATTGCTTATTGTTTTGATGGGATCTGCAGAGAATATGAAATTTAATCGCTTTATATAATTTTGGGTTCTTACAAGGATTGGCTCCAATCCATGCATGTGTTTATTTTATATCTTGATATGTTAATGCATGTGATGCCTGTTGTCCGCTGTTTTGCAAAAAGCTGTGTATGACTAGAAAAATTCAAATTTCTGGAACAATTTTGATTTCGGAAATTTGAGTTCTTCTTCTTCTGTTCTTTTAATATTTATGGGCGATTTTTATATGAAAAAATGACTTTTCTAGCGTCAAACTTTGATGCAGAATTTAGTTACTTGTCTTTAATTTGTTGCATTATATTATATTTTAAGTAGATTTTCTGGTGCAATGATGGTAAACTCTGATGTATATTCCCTTGCATTTTGTCAGTTTCTTACAAAGTGATACTCCTAATTTGTTTGTGGTGTGCGTGACTTTTCTATTTCTTCCCTTTTTAGTTAATTACAGGCAGAAATGATCATAAAGAGTCTGTTCAGGAGAGATGAAAGGTGGAATCCAGTACATCCAACTTACGGGGCCTTTTGGGGCGTAGGAGTAGGTATTGGTTGCGGAGTTGGATGGGGTCCTGGCTTTGGCCATGAGGTGATTGGTAATGTTGGATCTGGCTGTGGTGCTGGATTTAGTGTTGGCATCACTTTCCTTGGTGTCGGCATTGGTATTCCAGCCAATTACTTCTTCACAGTCCCTTACAGTGGTACTTTTCGTTCTCAGATTATTGTTAATGTCGGCTAGCTGATCCTAGTTAGCACATTTGAATGTTTGAAATACTACTGGTGCAGACCTTTATTCGTTTTATCTCTTAAAATGTTCATATTAGCTTTTATGGTTACAAGAAGAGGTGCACTGGAAGTTGCTCGGTTTAGTGGTCTACTTGGCATGACAAATGGGCCTGGAGATGGCTGGAGTAACATTGGATCACACATCTCTAGCATGCGACGAACTACAAGAACATCGTTTTCTAGCTTCAACGAAAATTGCCTGGACATGAAAGCCGTGTTAATTTCCCCTGCTAAACCTATCAAGGATTATTTAGAAAGAGTCAGCTGGTGCTTCTTTCATTCCGACAGAGGTATTCAAACTTGAGCATTGTGTAGTTTGTGCAGTAACTGTTACTTTCTTCCGTTTTCTCATGATCCTACACATAGTGCCTAGTGCATTGTGCAATAGCTATGGACCCGACACTAGATGATGCCTTCTTTTAGTTCAAATTTATCAGCGTTTATGCGTGTACTGTCATTTTTCTATTGACGGTGTGGTGTGATGTGATACGAGTTAGCAGTTGCTACCCATATCAGTATTGCATTTGGAAACTTCAGAAACACCTTTTATGGACATGAATATATCAGAAAATATTGACAGAGATTGACTTGTAGATAACAATTTTGACAGAAAAAATCAACATTGGACTATTGTACCTTTGGTGTCAAGACGCAGGAATGATAAGAACATCTAATCCGACATTAAAGAGATGAGCTATTCATGGTTTAATATCAAAGTAAGCTTCAACCTCATTCAGATTTAGGACAATGGATAGAAAGCCAAGGGATGGGAATGGAAACTTCGAACTTCTTTATAATTTTTATGGGGTCTAATGTGAATCTTTTGCATCCTATATCACAGTTAGCATGATATCTTGGTTGAAGTTTCTTTTATGACAAAGGTCATTATTTTGTTGAGGTACCATCAATTTAGAGATGCATACAAAACATTTGGATCAAGTCACTGATGAATTTCAAAGACGTGTTCTAGATTATTTTGTCGATTAATCTTCTCTTCACCTGTCCACATACTCGGAAATAACATGACATGAATTCTAGTGCAGGTTCAAAAAATTGATGGCGTAAAAGCCTTCCAAAGGGAGCCCTTGTGTCGTCGGAATCAGATCAATTCGACAACCAACCTTGGTTTCAAGGTAGCATCATACAGGGAAAATCTTCTTGTGTTAGAAGAGAAAAAACTTTTCTTTATTTTTGTGAGCAGACTCAGTACTTACAATTGAGTAATTTGCATAAACGAGTCACGAAGCAAATTCACACTAACAATGTTTATCGAATTATAATGTTACACAACTTGTGCAATTAAACATTCCACATCAAATTCAAAATCAAATGGCTTAAATTAAGTTTAACTATAATATACACAAAATTAAGCAAATCACTTAAAAATAAAAATGGATTTGACATTAAAGCCCTGTTTGGTACACATTAAAATTTTCATTTTCATTATTCTACTCATTTTTAATTACACAATCTTCAATAAAATAATATTTTTTATCACATCAATAATTTTTCTTTCTTTTTCAACCACAAATTTCACATCAATCTACTATTCCAAAATACATTCTTCCAAAATAATATGGCTCAAACACACCCTAAAAAATACTTCTTTTTGTTTGACACGAATTCGTGTGAAAGCATATGCGGGCTCTATTTATCGTTGCCAAAAATAAATTTGTGTGAATTAAAAGTCGTTAGGCGCATAGTGTCTTATCATTTTTTTAAAACATTTTCATGGTAACACGAGCTGGAGTGATTGATCCGATCAAAAAAGAAAAGAAAAGAAAGACATTATTGCACAAATGGTCTTTAACATTTGTTTTTAGTGTGAAAATGGTGTCTAACGTTTGTTTCTTTGCATGGATTGAAGAATCATCACCAATTTTCTAGATCTTTCCTTATACAACCAATTAGAGAAACCTAGAAAAATCTATCACCACCGCCTACTGGAAGCAGCTAGAATTATCTACTATCCACCGCCATTGAAGAATTATCTAGAATCATCAACATTTGTGCAGAAGAATCTAATGTTTATATGGCCCCGTTCGGGAGGGATTAAAAGCCAATTAAAATTGAAAATATGGCCGTTATTGGGTCCCACTCCTCTAATAAAAGTCAACAATAACGGCTATATTTTCAATTTTAATCTGATTTTAATCTCTCCCATACAAGGCCTATATATATGTGTGTGTATGCGCTCAACACATAAGTAATGTATTTGAGTGTGTAATTGAAAGAGTGCAAAGAGAGTGAGTGTGTAAGAGAGAAAATGTAAGGTGTGTGTTTGTAAAGAAAATATTTTTGTTAATAAAATCATTTTTTAGTTTGGCCTTTAAACTCAACAATTTGGTATCAGAGTGAGGCGTTCAGAGACGAATTTTTGGGCTTCTTGAGTTCGTGCACAAAAGGAGATTGTGAAGCTTTATTAAAGTTTGCTTGATTATGAGGAGGTAAATCAAGTCACGATGAGCGACATACAAGTAGTAGGCAGAGTAAAGAAACTCAATAATTAGAACTACACCACATGACAAACTTGCATGGAGTCGTATCTCCAAGGGCAAGACCTGTGAGAAGTTGTTGGTGGAAGTGACGTGATGCCATCAGAGGAGGCCGGAACTCTGAAGAAATGGAGAATTAAAGCGGGTAAGACCATGTTCGTTATAAAGACAACAATTGAGGAAGAATTGTTGGAGCATATAAGAGGCAAGTCTACACCAAAAGAAGCATGTGATACTCTGGCAGCTCTATTTCAAAGAAAAATGACTTGAGGTTGCAATTGTTGGAAAATGAGCCACTCTCGATCACTCAAGGAGAACAAACGGTGAGTCAATATTTTAATAAAATTAAATTTATTTGTCGCGAAATTTCAAAATTAGATTTTTCAAGTAAGATTTCGGAGTCTAGAATGAGAAGAATAATTATACATGGTTTGAGACCCGAATTTAGAGGATTCATTGCTGCTATACAAGGTTGGCCAGAGCAACCTTCATTGGTCAATCTCGAAAATTTGTTGGCCGACCAGAAGCATTAACTAAACAAATGTTAGGGATCTCAATAAAGAAAGAAAATGAAAAAGCACTATATAGTTATAAAAGAAGAGGTCGACTCCATCAACAAAATAAAGAATTAAAAGAAAATGGAGAAGGTTCTATGGCAAAAGGAGAAAAACAAAGTCACGACAAGAGATGTTAGCCGTTTAAGGGATTTCAACGAACTAACGGCTCGTGTTTTGTATGTGGCAAATGAGGCCATTATGCTAGAGATTGTCAATTTAGGAAAAAGCCAGCAGAAGGCAATATGACAACCTCTAATGAGCAAGAAAAAT